CTACGGACCAGAGCTGGTCTTCTCTGACAGCTAGCTACCCGCGAAGATTGCGCAGGTCCGCGAGCAGCTGCGACCTCAGTTGCAAGTGGACGTGGGTGCAGCAGATCTGTTCTATAGTCTTTTTCTATGAACGCGCGTTATCGCTGGTGGCGACACCCTGAGATTCAGTGCCATCTGCTTGCAGCTCAACAATCCTCCAGCACGCTGCGCTTGATAAAACCCACTTGCTGTTTGTATCCAACATCAAGAAATACAATAAATTGACAACGCGAAACTCAAAAATGTTGAAAAATGTGGCACGACGAAGGAAGGGGATGAGCTCTGCCGCCCACGGATGCTTCTCTCAAGTCAGGCGACTGACTAAAACTTCAATCGGCGGACTGACTGAAGCGAGCTCACTTTGCAATTTGCACTTTGCCATGAACATCTACCCCCAGACGACGTACGAGATCGACGCCGGCCGCGCGCTCAACCACGCCGACCTCCAGATCGACAACTGGTGCCACGAGATCAAGTCGGCCTGCGCCGGCATTGGCACCGACGAGAACAAGCTGACCCAAGTCATTGGGTCCAAGTCGGCCGTGCAGCGCCACCTTATCGCGCTTCGCTACCCGGAGCTCCACAAGTCGACGCTCCTCGCCGAGCTCAAGGGCGAGACCTCCGGCGACTACGGCAAGCTGATCCAGCTCCTCGCCCAGCCCATCGAGGAGGCCGAGGCCCAGATCGTCCGTGAGGCCACCAAGGGCGCCGGCACGTCCGAGAAGCTGCTCATCCCCGTGCTCTCGGGCCGCTCCAACGAAGAACTCAACATCCTCAAGAAGGCCTTCTTCAAGAACTACCAGAACGACATGGTCGTCGTCCTCGCCGACGATCTCGGCGGTGACCTCAAGAAGTTCTACCTCTCGGTCGTCAACCAGATGCAGCAGCCGTTCAACCCCGAGATCCACACGCAGGCCAAGGCCGTCGAGGTCGCCGAAATCATCTACAAGGCCGGCGAGGGCAAGTGGGGCACGGACGAAGCGACGTTTTGCAACGCGATCTGCTCGATCCCGCCGCAGTTCATGCCGGCCGTCAACGCCGCGTACGTGGCTAAGCACGGTAACAGCCTCGAGCGTGCGATCGAAAAGGAGTTTGGCGGCAAAGCCGAAGACGCACTCCTCTACCACGTCGGCATGATCCTCCACCCGATCGAGACGATTGCGGCGCAGTTTGAAAAGACGATGAAGGGCTTGGGCACCGACGAGTATGCCCTCGCGTGCGCCATCGTCCGCTACCAGCACCTCCTCCCGCAGGTCAAGCAGGCGTACCAGGCCAAGTACGGCAAGTCGCTCCGTGACCGCATCTACGGCGAGACGTCCGGCGACTTCCGCGCGCTCCTCCTCGCGATTCTCGAGCACTCCAACTAAGGTGTCGACATATATGGTATCTTATTTTGCTTATCGTAAACGCGTGGCGGCTTGAAATGAGCTCAAGTAGATAGACCAGTCCTGCTGTGATCTCTACACGGTAGAGAGGCAAGTAGGTCGGCTGAGTTGGCGGCCTGAAAGACTAACTTTGCAGGTTGACGCATATCCTCTCCGCCGTTAGATGGCGGAGGCGAAGTGGCCAAGAAGCGGATCATTAGCTCGACGCGAGTCCAGGCAACATGATCGTGACGTCATCAGCTCGTAGAGCTCGTCAGTGCAAGTGCCGCAGCGAGAGACGCGTGACGAGATCCCTGGCGACTACTGCGTGGAACGGCAGCAGCTCGAGGTTGGCGCTCGTGTGGCCGTTGCGGTGGATGCGAAAGCAGTAGACGCGCCCGACGTTGCGTCGACAGAGCACGTTGAGCCAGAGCCACGGGTAGTCACGCACGCACACGAGGTACCGGTCGCAGAGTATGAGGTGCCCCAGCAGCCACACACCTGAGGGCGACAGAAACCCGTCGTGGGTTGGGTCGTCGGGAAAGGGCGCGATGATGCCGTACGTCAACGAGAGCAGCTGGACGTCCGACTGCTCAAAGTTCTCGGTCAGCGTGCGCTGCCTCCAGCTCTGATGGCGAAGGAGGCTCGTGTCCTTCAGCGCGGGCCGCCGGCGGGGCGCGACGTCTGCGAAGACTTCTGCCTGCACGCGGCGACGCTGCCGAGTGCTCCACGCCTTGACACACAACATGTACACAACGACGAGAAGCAGCGCCACTAGAAACCACATGAGTTCGGTGAGAAGCAGCGCGACGGGTGTCTCGTCGTTAGCGTGGTACGTCCAGAGCGACATGGCCGCGCCAGGCTCGGACACGATGCTGGCGACGTAGTTGCGCGACAAGAAGGCGTCGCTGGCAGAGACGCACGCGGCGCAGACATGCACGAGCGCTTCTCGGTGGATCAGGCAGACCATGTAAATGGACAGGAGCACGTCAAGGCCGACGCGAAGATGCAGGAGATCGGCAAGACCGACCGCGATGGCCAAGAGGTATGTGGCGCCGTCCGAGCGCACCATCGCATCCAGCACAAAGCCGTCGTCGAGGCGCAGTCGGGCGTTTCCGTGCTTGAGGCAGTACTCCAAGACGTGCCAACCATGGTTGGCTACGGTGGCGAGCAAGAGGAGCACCGCGCGCAGCTGGATGCGCCATTGGATGGCCGGGTACAAGTCGGGGATCCAAAGTGTCCCGTCTTGCTTGTACAGGTTGAATGCAATCACGCTTGACACGAGCATGTGGAGGATGAGGAGAACCGAGACGCCCAAGCCCAAGAGGCATCGCCCCCACGCGTAGCAGTCGACGGAGAAGGGCACTTCGAGGTACTCGGTGTAAGTCAAGAAGGCGTCGCCATCGACCGGTGTCGACCAGTTGTAATAGAAGTAGTTGCCTTGGGTCTTGGGCGTCTCGCGAAAGACGCCGGACGTGCCGTAGGCCAAGAGCGCTTCGCCGGTCCGCAGCACCGTCACGTCCCACGCGGCGAGGGCCGGTGCGTTCACCTTCACTTCGTCAAACGGACCGACGTTAAATGGAAACTCGAGCCGCAAGAGGTGATGGTAGCTGTCGCCGACGTGGATGGTCGCAAAGCCGCACACCGTGTCGATATGCTTGGCCGACCGCCGGACGTTGAGTGTTTGGAGGATGATGGTCGACACGACATAGGACAACTTGTCCACGAGGTAGACCTTGAGCGCGGTCGTGTCGTTCCATCGAATGCCGTCGTAGTGGCAGTCGACCACGACCGACGTCGTGGCCGCGTCAAAGGGCGCGTGCCAGCTGCGATGCTCGCCCAGCAGATGCGAGAGCAGTCGCGTCAGATAGGCGTGGCTGTACATCGTCGACGGGATGTCGCAGTGGCAGTTGTCCTCGAAGACTCGGATGGTCCGCCCGCCGTCGGTCGAGTTGAGGTAGGCAAACGTCGGTAGCACTTGTACGGGAGGCTGCTTGAGGAACAACGCAATGAGCGGGCTCGTGTAGACGGCGCTGACAGAGCTATCGCCGGCGACGCCGACAAGCGACGCGTTCGTTGCGAGCGACCCGGAGATCTCGATGTAGAGCAAGAGGCAGGCGGCAGCGCAGCACGAGAGCCGACGCGCGCCGACATAGACCTCCCGCCACGCCATCGGCGCCGAGTCCCATTCCGTTATACAACAGGGCTAGGGCAAGAGATATAGTATATTTAGATGGTTTAGCTCGAGTGTTCCAAGATCGAGAGAAGGAGCTTGCGGTAGTCGCCGGACGTCTCGCCGTGGATGCGGTCGCGGAGCGACTTGCCGTACTTGGGTAGCGAAGCGAGATGAGGTAGCGCTCGCCGGCGGTCTTGGCGCCGAGAATGTCGTTGAGCTTGTTCTCGTCCGTGCCAAAGCCGGCGCAGGCGGCCTTGATCTCGTGGCACCAGTTGTCGACGATGGGGCTCGTGTGGTTGAGCGCGCGGCCGGCGTCGACCTCGTACGTCTGCTGCGGGTAGATGTTCATGCTGCTGGACCAATAAGAAAATGACGCCACTAAGAAAAGGGCGCTGCTTGGCCGCGCAATCGGTCACACCCATGATTGAATGTCGGCATTTTATGTGGGATACAAACACCAAGTATAAGAGTAGAATTTATTCGAAAGGGCAAAGTGCACTTTTGGGTTGTTGAGGAGTGTGTGTCGTAGTATACAAACATCAAGAGAAAAATATTCAGCACCGCGCAATGACGTGGCCGCCTGACAACGACCGAGCAAGGGAACAATCCCCCACAGGAAGGTTCTGGAACCCTTGCAATTTGTGCACACGGATCCGTTTGCCCCTGGAGCTGGCGTATGACTCGCCACACTTTACTACACTTTAATACACGCAAGGAACTACAGCTTACTCGTCCTAGTCCATACGCTCGAGTATTCCCTTCAACGAGGCGGTACGGCTGGTGGCAACCAGTGCTGCAGTATGATTGGTGCGCCGATAAAATAGGCGTCGGTGATTGGTGCGTCGAATAATTTGCCTGTCTCATCGCAGGCGGTACAGCGCGAGGTTGGCGATCGAAGCAACGGGCAGAGCGTCGGGGGCGAGGAGCACCTTGTCCACGGCAACGGCCGAGCGCTTGTACGGAAAGGCGTACACGCGGAAGAGTCGTCGGCCGCAAATGGCGTTGCACACGACCAGCGGGTAGTCGTGGATGTCGAGGATGAAGCGGTCGCCGAGGAGGACGTAGCCGAGGAGCCAGACGCTGGACGGCGACACAAAGTGCGTGTTGCCAATGAGGTGGTACTCGTCGAGGGGTGCGACGAGGCCGTACGTCTCGCAGAGCTTTTGCCGCACGCGCGGCTCGAACCCGGCGCGGCAGACGTCGTCGCCCGAGAAGCTCCGGCGCGAGAGTAGTTTGGACGCGACCAGCGTACTGGGCACCACGCGCGCGCAGTACAGGTCCGAGAAGCGCCGCCCGCCTCGATGGTTGGCGCTGTCGTTGTCGTCGAGGCAGAGCAGCGTGAGGTGGTGCATGCGTCGCCACGTTCGCCACGACCGCGTCTTCCTGTCGTACATGTTGCGCAGTTTTTCAACGACAGCGTACAGCACACAGACAAGGCACGCGAGGAGCCACCACGTCATTTGCGTCAACAGGAGCGTGAGATTCGTCTCGCGATTCTCGTGCCACGTCCAGAGGTCCATCCCATCACCATGGACCTCGAGGATGTTGGCGAGGTAGTTGGCCTTCACATAGGCGTTGGTTGCCTCCAGCGCAAGGCCGTGAGTTGCCACAATATCGTCGCTCAGCTGGTAGCAGATGACGCAAATGCTGACGGCGACCTCGAGACGCAGGCGGATGCGCATGGCGTTGGCCAGTGTGATCACGAGCCCGAGGTACACCATGAGGGCGTCCGCACGGATGATGTCGGTCAACACAAAGCTGTTGGTCCAGCCTTCGCGGGCGTCGGCCGTGCACAGCGCGTACTCGTAGAGGTGCCAGCCATTCGTGCACGCGAGGACGAGAAGGCAGAGAAGCGCGCGCAGTTGAATCCGAAACTGAACGCAGGGAAAGACGTCGGGCACCCACGTGGCACCGTGGGCGCTGTGCATGCGCAGGGCCACGAGGAGAGCGACGCCGCCGTTGACGGCGAGCGTGAGCGTGATGCCCATGCCGAGAAGAAGACGCACCCAGCCATACGCGTCCTTGGAGACGTCCGTCGTCAGGTAATGGATCACCTGCATAAACTCGATCGGGTTGACCGGAAAGTTCCATGTCACGTAGCCAAAGCTGGCTTGGGTATCGATGGACGACCGGTAGATGCCATCCGTACCTGCGACGGACACGGGCTCATTGGTCGGCGCCAACGTGCCTGTCCACTTGCCCTCGACCGTCCGATCGTGCAGCGTCAGGAGGTAGAACGACGGCAGCACATACGGAAAGTCGAGGCCAACGGTGTGGATGTAGGACGCCTCCTGCGGTGTCCCAAGGTCCGGGAGCGCCACGGCCGAGAGGTCGACCGTCGAGAATGTCGCCAAGCCGCACGCAGACGAAAGTCGCTTGGTTGGGCGGGTGATGTGGACCGTCTGGAGAAAGAGGGTCGTGAGTTGCGTCGCCGTCGGATTGACAAAGTGCAATTTGAGCGCGGTGGTGTCTTGGACCATCCGGCCCGCGTACGCGCAGTCGACGAGAATCGTAGACATCAAGAGCTCCGAGAGCGACGGCGCGGCGAGCGCAATGCGCGGCAACAGCCTATTGAGGTACCTTGGCGCGTAAATGCGATCGCCAGGTAACATGGTGTGGCACGCATGCGGGCTCGTTGTGACTGAGCCGTCAGGCGCAGAGTCCAAGTAGAGCTGGCCGGTCGCCGGTGGTATCCAAGGGCTGCTGAGGAGGCTCGCGACCCATGGCCCAATGAGCGGGCTATGGTACGTCGACGCGACGTGCGTGGGGTTGGTCGCACCGAGGAGATTGGCTTTGACCGCTTCCGAGCCCGTCCACTCGATGTAGAAGACGGCGATGGCCGCGACGCAGGACAGCACTCGATGGAGCCGGACGCTCCAGAGGAGGCGCGTCCTGGTTGCCATCCGAGTGTAAAAATGGACCGCTTGCGCGTACTTTCTGGTGCTGACGTTACCGACAAGTCTTGGCTATATTTGAACATGACGCTGGTCATAGCGACACCCAGAGCGACACCAGTGACAGAAGAAGAGGTCCCACGCATGGTACATGGACCAACGCGACCACCAAGTGCTCGATGGGCGATAATTGCGCTGCGAAGATAGAAGTAGGTTGCACACCGGACGCAGCATCATCACCTACTGCGGCGTCGTTCGTAGACAGTCCACAATGGCTCGAGGCGTTTCCAACAGTCGCGTCCTGTCTAGCAAGGCTTTACGACGCTCCTGCGCAGGCCACTCACTGATGCCAACTTGGCTTTTTTCTCCAGCCGTTGAGTGCCTAGTCCTGGGCTCGACACTGGTGCGTTGAGAAGCTACGCATCCAGCATCAAGAAGGTAGCACACAGGTTTGGGGAGAAACTTTCTATCCCAAGCGGTATGGGAGCGCGGTTTCGGTTGCGTGCGATTAGCCTGCTGGCCGACCACGCCCAGTTAAGTACGCGCTCTGTGGTTGGCGCGGTCACAGCACGATGGACCGCGGCGACTGGGAAGCTGCGCTCGCCGACGGTGGTCACTTGGACTTTATGGGCGACGCGTCCTCGCTCCTGCTGCGCCAGTCACCGTCGGCGAAGGCGCCGCCGCTCGTGCCATCGCCGCTGTCACCGCTGCCCAGCCTCTCGCTCGACGACCTCTTGCCGTCGGGGCTGCCGAGCCCCAGCGTCTCGCCCGGACTGGCGGCGATCCTGCCCGGCGACGTCAATCTGTTTCCAACCCCGCCGGTCGCAACCTTGCCGCCACCTGCGTCGCCCGTCGTTGTCGCGCCGCAGTGCATTGACCTGCGCATCGTCAAGGAGAACGGCGTGCTTGGCTTTGGCGTCGTGCCCCGGCGCGGCATGGGCGGCGTCCAAGTCTCGACGCTGCAGCCCGCGTCCAGCGCCGACCGCGCCGGTCTCCGCATCGACGACTGCCTCCTCCGCATTGGCGTCAACGACGTGGGCTCGATGGCGCTCAACGACGTGGTCGAGCAGCTCAAAGCCGTGCGGCCGGGCGAGGCGATCATGCTGCGCGTGTACCGCCCGACGGCGCCGCCGACCAAGAAGCCGCGGCTCATGGCGCCCGAGACCGCGCTCAAGAAGCAAGTCGACGCGGCCACCAAGGACTTGGCGACGGCGATCGCCGAAAAAACAAGATCTCGGAGCGCAACACGGCGCTGCGCAAGCGCGTGCAGGAAGTGGTCATCAAGGCCGACGAGACCGTCTTGCGCGTCACCAAAGAGAAGGACGCAGTCATCGCGCGCCTCACGCAGGAGAAGGCTGACGCGGCGCAGGCGCTCGCGGCGCTGCAAGCGCAGATGCGCATCGAAGCCCGGACGCTTTTCGACGCCAATGCCAACGCGGAAATCAAAGCCCAGCTCGACGCCGCCGTGCTCAAGGTCGCCGACCTCGAAGACGCCGAGCGAAAGCGGCTGGCTGCCAAGAAACACTACCTGTCGGTGCAAGGCGCGTTGGCCGGTATGACGACACTCCGCCTCATGCAGGAGAACAGGACAGTAGCGATGCAAACTGTAGGCAAGCTCGTGGCCGAGCTCGAGACAAGGGTCGTCGAGCAGCTTCAGATCGCCCTCGCCGGCATGGCAGCGGCCCGCGCCGCGACCAAGTCGAATGCATTTCACGCCGCCACGCTGCCGCCGACGCTGACGATCGCGGTCGAGCTCTGCCGACCTGCCGCCGTGCTCCAGCTCTTGGATGTGACCTCAGTGTATGACGTGTTTGGGTTCCCAGTGCTGACACCGCTGCGACTCACGTGGCCTGCCGCCCGCGCCCACGCTGTAAGTGCTGTCATCACCGAAAGCGAATTGCATCATCGATATACGTAGGTGTTTGGCCAGCGACTGGTATATGAAGAGCGGACAGGCGTCCACCTCGTTGCATCGGGACCAGTCGTAGGTCGCTTGGCTGCCGCCGCTGCTTCCTGACGCTGCACGTGTAGGAGACCAAGTTTGACCCGACGACCGAGCTTCTCGAGATGACGTGGAAGTGGTCCGAACACAGCGTGCTGCGCGAGATTGGGCGGTCGATCCGGCTGGCATAGACGCAGGGTGTCGTAGGGTAGGAGTACAGCTAGGAAGAAGATAAACGCACGAGATAAAACCAACGAGTGCCATTGATCACGCATCGTCCTTGGCGGCCCGGGAGAGCTCGTGACAGACGTACTCGAGCTTGCCGCATATGGCTTCCATCTCCTTCGCGCTCTGCACTGCCCAGGCGCTAAAGTCTTCGAGTTCGGCTAGCTGCGCCTTGAAGCGCTTGTGCTCGGCCTTCCAGCGCACCGTCTTTTGGTGGAGCTGCACTGCGCACTTGGCCATGCCAATGCACTCGTCCTGGATCGCCTGCTGGTTCGCCATGACGGGCGCCATCGCCGTATCGACCTGCAGCCCGAGGTGCTGCTCCAGGAGCAGCATGCTCATCTGAAGGCCCTTGGTCGCCTCGGCGCGCTGCTTCTGCTGCTGGGCGAGGAGCGACTCGGCCTCTGCGGCGAACTCTCCGAGCATCGTTCACGACAATCCTCTACTGCGTATCCGGATACAATCCGGTTATTGGCAGATCCTCGCCAGGTTGCCGAAGCGGCTCGGGAACGTTGGGTCGCGGAGCGTCGAGGCGGAGCTCCAAGAGGTGCCACCAGCGACGGACGTCGACCAGCTCGAGGCCGCAATTGCATGCGTGCAGGTGGTAGCCGTAGACGCGGGCGACGGGTCGTCCGCAGAGAACGTTGAGCGCCAGCCAGCCCACGTCGTGGATCGACACCACGTACGAGCGCCGCAGCAGGACGTAGCCATGGCTCCATAGCTCGGACGGCGAGAGCTCGCCGCCTCTCCGGTCGGTAATCGGGGCGACGAGGCCAGCTAGATGACGGGCAGCGCTCGGAACCGCCGCCTCGAGCACCGTCGCCCACGTCAACGACGACGGTGGCACGCTCGCAAAGTGCGGTCCGCGCCTCGAGGTGCCCGTCTCGTGGCTGCCTTCGTGGACGCGAGAGAGCGCAGGTACGATGCTCGCCCGCTTGATCGCGATGGCGGGCGCCAAACTCGCGGTCCTCGACGATGGCTCGTCGACGACGCCATTGATGTTGCTGCTGCGGCATTGCTCGTAGAGCCGCTGCGCTGCAATGTAGCAGCACCCAACCACAAGGGCGACGAGAAACCACGCGTAGCTCGCGACGAGAAGTGGCGTTGGCGTCGTTGGGTACGGATGCATCGTCCAGAGCGTCATGCTGGTGGGCGGCCCGACAACCTGGACGTTGGCCAAGTAGTTGGCGCGGAGCAAGGCGGTGGCGGCCACTCGCTCGAGGTTGACGGCGACCGAGAGCTCCGCTTGGCGCAAAAAGCATACGACGAAGAGGAGAACGGCCACGTGGAGGTGGAGGCGGGCGTGGACGAGGGAGGCGACGGCGTCGAGAAGACTGAGGTAGACGACCAAGAGGTCTCCAAAGACCATGTCGGGCAGGACGAACGTCGCACTCCATCCCTGCTGGGCATTGCCAGTCGCGATCGCATACTCGAGGAGCTCCCAGCCATTGTCGGCTGCACTAATGCAGAGCCAGAGAAGGGTGTACTGGCGCGCCTGCAGGATCACGCATGCGTAGATGTCGGGTATCCAGACCGAGCGGTGCGCGCGGTAGCGGCGCCACGCAATGACGGCCGAGAGGCCCCAGTACCAGACCAGTTGGAGGCCAAAGGTTGCCGACAAGAGACACCGCGCCCACGCGAACGACTTGTCGATGGCGTGGCCGACCTGCGTGTACTGAATGGCTTGGATAAAGTCGACGGGGCTCCCTGGAAGGAGCCAGACATACGAGTTTGTATTGGCTTGCACGGTAGGCGACACGCGGTAGATGCCCTCGGAGCCAGCAACGACGAGGCGCTCGCCCGTCGCAAGGACCGTGGCCGCCCAGCTCCCCACATAGGACGGTGTCGGGTCGAGCAGCACCTCTTGGAAACTGCTACTGGCTTCGTACGGAAACCCTAGACTCACAAACGACCGGTACGACGAGGTGTGGACTTCCTCAAGTGACGCCAACGGCGTTGAAAGCACCGTTGCCATAGCGCACGACGTCTGCCACGGGGCCTTGGGGCGGCGAAGGCCCATCGTCTGCACGTAGACCGTCGTGACGGTGTGCGCGTCGACGGCATAGACCTTGAAGGCCGTCGTGTCGCCGAGGACACGACCCGTGAACGAACAGTCGACGACCAGATACTGTGTGGCAGCGGACGGCAGAATGCTGGCGACGAGTGGCAGGGCCACCGAGGCATTGTAGAGCAGGTCCGAGTCCTCGAGGAACGGCACGCAGCTGTCGGTGCGGACTGTGTACGGCGCTCCTTCCGCGCCTTCGTCAAGGTAGAGTATCGACGCTTGAGGCAGGCGGGCTGTGCTGTTGGCGGCCGTGTCAAGAAGAAAAGCCAGGACGAGCCCGCTCGTGTAGATGTTGGCGAGCTTGGGCGCTTCGAAGGCACCGAGTCGGACGGCGTTGCAAGCAGCAGCGTTGCGCAACACCGACACGGCGACGTAGAGCGCAGCGGCAAGCGCCAAGCATCGGTGGGCGGTCCCGACGACCCGGGGCCACGATGGCATCCAGCTAAATATACCCCGCCAACGGCCAGGCCATTGAAGGTGCCACGTCATTGGACATAAAAAGGGCGACGAACGTGATGGTTTTTATGACGTTTCATTCGTTGTTGAATTTTTAATTTGGCCAATCAATGACTGTGCGACCTGCCAGTCGACTCGGCACGGCGATGCGGGCGTGGCCAAATTCGCGATCAAAATGAAATGATCCAAACTTGGCACAGAGATAGAACACACTTCGTAGAGTTTAACACGGTACGTCACGTCGGCGTTTGATGCGTACAGCCTGCGCTGTCGCTCAAGACATTCATTATGGCAAATGCCACATGTAGCCATATTTAGCCATATTTACTGCTTCCAGCCCGTCAACTCCAGATCATTTGACGTCAGGCGTTCGTGATTGAGCCAGCGATGTATTCCCTTGTATAGTTTTTGCTGCCTTTCACTTGTCTGGTATCCAGACCATGTTCACCCGCATTGCCTCGGTCTTGGTTTATTGGCGGGGTCTCATCGCTGCTTGCTCCGGGAAGGTACAGCTCGAGTGCGTCTACCTTGCAGCGTCGAGCTGATAGCCATTTCATCCTCTCTTTGCACGTCGTTCTCGTCGAAGCCTTGGCATCGGATGCTGGACGCCCCGTGCTGCTAGCATGCATCGCACGTCGTTGTCGTTGTGGGCGTTGGCGAACCGACCGTAGCACGACGCCACGTCATCGGTCCTCTTACGTTCGCCGCACCTTTATGAGAAGCGCACTTTAGAGGCGGCGAAAGACCAAGATTTGCGAATTGGAAACGAGCGATGGGCGTGCAAGAAGTCTTCGGGAACAGCGACTGGGACGCCAAGCACCGCGCCGCCGGCGGGAAGCTCGTCGTCGCCGACTTCACGGCCTCCTGGTATGGCTAGCTTCGCCTGCATGACGAGGCCTCATGCACTAGCGCAGGTGCGGTCCGTGCCAGATGATCAAGCCTCGCTTCCATGCAATGGCCGACCAGTACACGGACGTCGTCTTCCTCGAGGTCAATGAAGCGAACAACGAAGACTTGATCCACAGCATTGGCATCCGCGGCTTCCCGACGTTCCACTTTTACATCAACAAGCAAAAGGTCGACGAAATGGTCGGCGCCGACCCAAACACACTGCAGTCCAAGATCGAGCAGTGGCGTGCGTCCGCCGGCCCCAACCCGTTCGCGTCGGAGGGCGTCTCGCTCGGAGGTGGCGGTGCCGCCCTCGACCCGCGCGAAGCTCGTCTGCGCAAGTTCAACCAGGTCGACTTGCTGCCGACAACGCCTGCACCTGTCGCCGCCCCGACGCCTGTCGCTGCGCCAATCGCTGCGTCGGCGGCCTTGACCGCAGAGCAGCAAGCTGAAGACGCCGAGCTCGCGCAAGCTCTCGCGCTCTCGCAGCAAGAGCTTTCCCAGGCCCAGGCCAACGTCGACGAGAGCGGTGCGCCTGCCGAGATGGCGCTGCCCCCGGTCAACGAAGCCTTCCTCGCACAGGTATGTCTTGTCGTGTCTTGCGTTGGTGTCTCATGAAGCATGTTTAGCTCGTCGAAATGGGCTTCCCGGAGCTCCGCGCGCGCAAGGCGCTGCTGGCGACGAACGATGGCAACCTCGACCAGTGCATCAACTGGATCGACGAGCACCAGGACGACGCCGACATTGACGCGCCGATCCAGTTTATCGACATGGCGGTACTACCATACTTGGCTCTTCTCTTTCTCATGGCACGCATATCTAGCACCACAAGCGAACGCTGACCGCGGACGAGAAGGCGGCCAAGGTCGAGGAGCTGAAGCAGCGCATCGAGCTCAAGCGCAAGGAGCGCGAAGAGGCCGCGAAGAAGGACGACGTGGCGCGGGAGATTGCGCGGCGCAACATGGGCAAAGAGGCGAACGCGGCCAAGGAGGAGTACGAAGCGATCCAGATGCGTCTGCTGCGCGAAAAGCAGCGCAAGGAGAAGCTCGACGCCAAGCTCGAGCGCGAGCGGCTTCTGAAGCAGCTCGAGATGGACAAGGCCGAGCGCCGCGCCCACGGCGGCGTGCTCAAGAAGGCGGCCTTTGAGAGCGACGTGGTCATGGCCGCGCCGGCGCCGTCGCCGCCAAGTCGTCGTCGTCGTCGGGGAGAGCCGACCTCACGCCGTCGGAGCAGA